CGCCCCCCCCCCCCCACGCCTCCGCACTACCCCATGGATCATGGATGAAGGGCCTCAGAAACAGCACTGACACTGCAAATACCACACAGCGCAATTTGTTAAACAGTCTGATAAAGAGACTTTCGGACCCAGCATCATCCCTTTGCCACCACCTCTATAACAGGCGTCCCAAGGCATCCCTACCATCCCCCAGGCTGGGGCCTGTACGCCCTGGTCTACCCTTATTTTGAAATAACAAGTGGAGTGTCCACACTATCAAGTCCGTTATTTCAAAATAAGGGGCTTGTTATTCTGAAATAACAACAAGGAATAACTACTCCTCAAAGTAATTCAAAGTAATTACTCCTCAGTGCTTGCTGGGGCTCTAAGTCAAGATAGCGCGTTCACATTAGGGGAGCCTGCTTGGACTAATTTCAAGGCTTCCCTATAGTGTGGACACGATTTTGAATGGTTATTTCGGGAGTTCTTCTTCTTCTAGGAGTGTCCCCATGGGTGCTCCCCCTTAGGGGTGCCAGACTTCTGATAGCAATGCCCCTCTGGTTGTCTGTGCACACGGAGCACTGGTGTGTGACGCTTGGAACGATCATCCTATGCGCACAGCCAACCGCCGCCTCAGTCCCTTCTCTGACTGCCGCTGGCTATGCTGGTCGCAGCAGTGCAGTTTTGACCCAGTTTACCTCCGCCTATAGTTTTCCATTAGCTGTTAGCAGTTATGTTGTCTTACCTTAGTTGAGATTAATTCTCTTTTCTCACACAAAGAAAAAAAACAAGAAGAAAGGAGAAGTTGTCACTTTTTAAAGCCAGCACAGAACCGCGGTCTTTTCCACAAAAGACCACCTCAGAAGGACTCTTACCAAGACATGCCTGGTTCCTCAGGATTCAAGAAGTGTGAATCTTGTAGGCGCTCTCTCTCCATTTCTGATGGACACTCTCACTGTGTCTGTTGCCTCGGTCAACAACATAATACTCAGCAGTGCAAACACTGCTTGAAATTGACCAGCAGGACCAAAAGAGCCAGACAACTGCAATTAAAAATCATGCAGATAGAATCTGACTCCAGGTTGACACTAGACCAGCACTCATGGGCAGCCGCACATTCAGGTCTCCTGGGGGCGCCCGGGAAAAGGGGCCGAACTGCAGCTCAAGCCCCAGGAACCAAGATGGGCTCAAAGACTCAGGAAGGAGTCCCACTCCTCAGTGGCCTCAGATTCCCCACCGAGAAAGCACTCTGCCCCCGACAAACCTGCCTCCACGCCCAGCGCAGCCAAGGTGATGGAAAAGCAGGCAGGAATGGTGTTCATAAAAGTCAGGACCCTAAAGAGCAGGTCCGACCTCCCCCACCCACCCCGTAAGCCAAGCGTGGAGCAAAAGCACAAGAGCTCCATGCCAGCGCCAGCTAAACCACCATCAGTGGCCATGCCGAAGGTAGTGACAGTGGCAGCAACAACTGTCCTGTCAGCAGCACCACTCAAACCACCGCTGGTGGTACCACTGAGAGACAAATGAACAGCGCCCAAAGAAGCGCTGACAACGGCACCGGTGAGAGCGCACTCGGAGCCTGGCTTAGCAACACAAGTGTTTAAAGGGCCGGCAGAGCATAAGAGTGCAAAACCTCACAAGAGTCACACAGCACTGGCTGCAATACCTGTACCGGCACCGATACCATACACACCAGAGTCACATGCTGCTCTCCTCAGCACAGCTGTCTCAGTTTACCTTGACAGCAGACCTGGCGGTGGCATCGGTACCAGAAACACCACTATTTGCCAGGGGTGGCACCTTAAAATCCTCCAGACTCAGTTTCTCATCATCATCGGCTTCAATGCTCATGCTAGTGAGCGAGGAGGAGTATGATGCAGGCTCTCTATACAAGTGTACCCCCAGAACCTCGTCATCGAAATTGCTACAAGGGCAGTAGTGGCAACAACCACAATGGCTCCCCCCCCCCAGCTAGCCATACTGGGACCCATGGGCGGCTTACAGACTCCTACAGCCCAGATAACTCGGGTACCAGACCCAGGATCCTCCCAGGAACTCCCTTGAACACTCTGTCCCTTCAGAGGAAGAAGGTGAAATGGATGTCACAGGGGCAGAAAAAATATTGGACTCAACATCAAACGAGCACCTCTCATCTTCGTCACCCAGGGAGACAATCCTGCCCCACCAACCAACACAGAGGATGATTTTAGTTCCTTCCAGGAGCTCTTTAAGAGGGTGGCAATTGCATTTCGCTATTAGCTATGCCTGAGACCCAGCATAAACTCACAGACATTTTACTCATCTCGTCACAGGCTAAGCTAGCCATCCAAATGAAGGAAGCACTGATGGACCCAGCCAAAGCCCCGTGACAGACACCAGCATTGATCCCACCTATCAGCAAAAGATCTGACTGAAAATACTATGTAGCCCCAAAAGGTGTGGAATTCTTATTTTCGCACCCTACTCCGCATTCCTTAGTGGTCAAAGCTGCTAATCAAAGGAGCAAGCATCAGACAATCAGCACAGGGCTACGTGACAAGGAATGGAAGTGCCTGGACGTGTTGGGCAGAAATGCCTACTCGTCTTCTAGCCTCCAAATCAGGATTGCAAACTGTGGCACTCCTTGCAAAGTACACACACCACACATTCGATCAACCATCAACTTTTATTACCGAGCTTCCTGACAACCAAAAGGAACAATACAGTGCGAACATGAAGGAGAGGGCATAGATTGTCAGAACAGCCCTGCAGACAGCACTGGACTCAGCTGACACGGCCTCAAGGTCCTTAGGGTCGGCAATAGTTATGAGGCGGGCGTCGTGGCACCAATAGTCTGGCGTCCCAAGGGAGGTGCAATCATGGAAGATCTACCGTTTGAGGAGCTATTTGCTGAGTCCTCCAACGCTTCCCTCCACACACTGGAGGACTCGAGCCACTCTGAAGACATTAGGCATACATGTACCTGCAAATAAAAAGAAACCGGGAAGACCTTTCACATAATGCTACAGATCAGCCCCATTTAATCAACAGGCAATGGCCCAGACCGAATAGACGCAGGAAGGCTCTGACCAGGCAACCACACAGCAACCTTCAACACCCTGCCAAGCATTTTGAAGGTCTGGTCGAGGGTCAGACAGCACTGAGTTCTCCAAGGCAGCAATACACACCTTATACACCATTTGGCAGCAGACTAGCTGCATTCTGTCCAGCATCACAGACTAACGGATACATCACCACAGACAAATGGATAATGGAGATCATCAAAAATGGTTATTGCATCCCATTTACTTCCATTCCACATCACCAACCCCCCTTCCCATCCCTCTTCAGGGACCCCTCTCACAAACTTATGCTAATACAAGAGACATAGCACCTCTTAAACTAGGGGCTATAGAAGAGGTCATAGCAAAGCACAGAAGGAGGGGTTTCTACTCCCACTACTTCCTGACCACCAAGAAGTCAGAGGAAATGGAGATCAATCTTAGATCTCTGAAAGCTAAACTGATTTGTTCATTATCAATTCAAAATGATAACCCTAGCCACCATCATCCCTGCCTTGGACAAGGGAGATAGGCTGTCCACCCTTGACCTCTGTCCACCCTCCACCTCTGAGATATATGTACTTTCACATCACAATATACCCATCCCACTGGCAATTCCTGAAGTTTACTGAGAGAGACCTACACTTCCAGTACAAAGTGTTGCCATTCGGACTCTTGACAGCCCCAAGAGTTTTCTCAAAAGTCCTGGCTGTTGTAGCAGCTCACCTAAGGAAAATGGGTATCACCGTTTCCCCATACCTAGACGACTGCCTAACAAGAGGCCCCAGGGCGCACAACACAGAACAGGCAGTAGCCACCACCAGAGCACTGTTCGACTCTCTGGGCCTACAGATCAATCTGGAAAAGTGTGTCCTTATCCCAAGCCAGACCACAGACTTCATAGGAGCATACCTGGACTGCACGAAAGCGATAGTGTCACTACCCCACCACAGGTTCACAGCTATCAGGGACCAGGTATCTCTAGCGCAAACCAGCCCATTCATAACAGCAAGACAATGCCTGCAACTAGTGGGACACATGGCAGCAGCCACGTTTGTGGTACCACACACCTGGCTGCACATGAGACCACTACAGGCCTGGCTAAGAACAGTGTACAGACCATACATACACCATATAAACAGGCACCTAGCCATGCCAAACAAGTTTAAGTCCACACTAACGTGGTGGACAATACATCACAATGTTTGCAGGGGGGTACCCTTACAGTGCTCACCTGCTACTATAACAGTAACAACAGATGCCTCGTTAATAGGCTGGGGAGCTCACCTGGACAAACACATCATGCACGCTCAATGGTGCAGGGACGAGACCAACAATTAAATAAATGTGCTCAAACTCAGAGCAGTTGGCAATGCTTGTGCCCACTTCCAGCCTATAATTCAGAACAAAACCATCCCAGTGTTAACAGACAACACTGAAACAATGTACCACATCAATTGGCAAGGGGGGGGGGGGGGTTCCTATCAGTTATGCCAGGAAGCCGTAAAGCTATGGGAGTGGTGCATCCCTAGGAACATAACACTTCCAGCTACCTACCTTCCTGGCAAGGACGACATAACAGCAGACAGTCTCTGCAGGGACTTCCCCCACAACCAAGAGAGGGAAATTGACCCCAAAATACTAAAACCTATTTGCCACCAGCAAAAGCAAGAAGTGCCAATACTATTGTTCAAGAGCGTGCATAGGCCCCTGGTGCTTGGGGGATGCATTCAGCAATAAGTGGGAAGCATCTTTACTGTATGCGTTCCCACCATTTCCTCTGATCCAGTGCACAGATCATACTGACAGGAAAAAGGTGACAGGAAAAAGGTCATACGGATAGTGCCCATGTGGCCCAGACAGACTTGGTAACTTACCTTCTGCGGATGAGTGTTCACCCACCATAAAGCCTCCCACCAGACCGGACACAGCAGTACGGCCACAGTCACCATCCGGATATACACTCTCTCCACCTCCACATATGGATGGTGACTGGCTGATGCCTTCGGAGGTCGACTACCCCAAGGAGGTACAGCAAATCCTTGTGAACTGTCGTAGACCTGCAACAAGAAAAACATACAGTCAGAAATGGCACTGCTTCAAGTTATGGTGCCTCAAACACAACTGTACTCCAAAAGTCAGGAGTGTCAGAAATACTTACTTACCTGCTAGAACGATACAAAACAGGACTATCTCTAATCTCAGTCACAGTACACCTCACCGCAGTAGCGGCATTACACCCTCCAAAAGAGGGGTACTCAGCTTTTACTCACCTTTCCACCAAGAGGTTTCTCCGGGATCTACAAAACATGTTCCCACCACAATGAGACCCACTTCCAGCATGGGACCTCAATCTTGTATTAAGGGCTCTTATGGGGAAAACCCTGTGAGCCGCTAGCTACCTGATCCCTATTACACTTATCAATGAAGGTAGCCTTTCTCGTGGTGATTACCTCCGCAAGAGGAGTGAGTGAGGTGGGGCACTCATGACACAACCACCGTACACAACCTTCCATAAAGACAAGGCGGTCCTCTGTACCCACCCTAAATTCCTCCCGAAAGTAATTACCTCTTTCCACTCTAACAAACCAATCTACTTACACGTCTTCCTTCCTAAACCCCATAAGGATGACAGAGAAAGGGCACTTCACACCAAAGACACCCATAGGGCAATAGCCTTCTATCTCCACCATATGGAGCCCTTTCAAAAATCTCCATAACTCTGTGTCATCTACAGAAAGATCAAAACGGTTACCCTTATCCAAACAGACTATCTAAATGGATCTCGGACTGCATACACCTAGCCTATAACATATTCAACAGAGAACCCCCAATGACCATAAGGGCTCACTCCACGAGAGCAATGGCAACAACAACAGCCTCCCTCAGTGGAATCCCAACAGAGGACATCTGTAAGAGGCCACATGGGGATCTGTTTACACATTCACACAGCATTATACAATAGTCATTTGCGGACACGGACATGTGCTTTGGCTGAACGGTACTAGCAGTTACCGAGTCAACATTGCTGAAGTGCCCACCACCAAGCACAAATGCCACTTAGTAGTCACCTAAGGTGGAGCATGCCCAGGGACACTCCTCAAAAAAGGGAAGGTTACTCACCCTGTGCAGTAACTGGAGTTTTTCGAGATGGTTGTGCCCATGGGCGCTCGACCATCCACCCTCCTCCCCTCAGCTTTGGATCCATCTGCTTCCGGGCCAGAAGGAACTGAGACAGCGGTTGGCTGTGTGCACGGGACGACTGTTCCAAGTGCCGTGTGCCAGTGCTCCACGTGCACAGCCAACCAGAGAGGCACTGCTATCAGAAGTCTGCCGACCGTGGGCGCAGTGGCGCTGGCACACCTAAGGTAAAACACCCACAGGAACAACCATCTCGAAGAACTCCAGTTACTGCACAGAGTGAGCAACCTTCCCTTTTGAAATAAGTTATTTCAAAATAATTTCCTTATGTAGACATGCCCTGTGAGACCCATCTGGAGCCTATTCCAACCCCAAGAACTTTCCCTGAAGGTACGTCTACACTATTTTGGGATATCAGAGTGTCCCGAAATAGCAAGCCCATTATTTCGGGCTCACTATTCCAGAGTATGTCTACACTACAAAGTTAATTCAAACTAACAGCCGTTAGTTCGAATTAACTTTCATAGGCCCTACAGAGGCAAACCGCTAGTTCGAACTTAATTCAAACTAGCGGAGCGCTTAATTCGAACTAGGTAAACCTCGTTCTACAAGGACTAACGCCTAGTTCGAATTAAGTAGTTCGAATTAAGGGCTGTATAGCCACTTAATTCGAACTAGTGGGAGGCTAGCCCTTCCCAGATTGTCCTGGTGGCCACTCTGGGCACAACCAGGGAAACTCGTCTGCCCCCATCCTGGTCCCGGATGCATGTTCCCGTCCGGTCTTCATTTTGAAATTTTACTAGCCCGAACTCACTGCCGCGTGGCTACACACGGCAGTGAAACGTTAATTCGAACTAAGTCCTCGTGGAAGAAGGAGTAACAGTTAATTCAAACTAAGGACTTAGTATGAATTAATGTTTCAATGCCGTGTGTAGCCGCCTGGCAGTGAGTTTGGGCTAGTGAAATTTCAAAATGGCGACCGGTCTGGCTACGGTGCCCGTGCCAGGTGCAAGCTTGCCAGCACCCAGCCAGCATACCCTGCATCTGGCATGGCATAAGCCAGCCATCCGCTGTCACCCAGCCCTCCACCTCTTCCCTGGACCAGGCTGGTGGCTCCCAGGAGCCTGCCCAGGGCCGCAAGAGGCGGGCACCCGTCTGGTCTTGTGCAGAGATTGTGGACCTCATCGAGGTTTCGGGGGAGGCCTCCAACGTCCACGACCTCCGCACTAGCCACAGGAAAGTGGCCGTCTAAGGCAGGATAGCTGCCAGCCTGGCCACCAAAGGCCACATGCAAACCCAGGAGCAGGTTTGCATGAAAATCAAGGTGATCCAGTGAGACCCCCGATCCTGAGCCCTGAGCTTAGAACATAAGAACATAAAAATTGCCATACTGGGTCAGAACAAAGGTCCATCTAGCCCAGTAGCCTGTCTGCTGACGGCGGCCAACACCAGGTACCATGGAGGGGATGGACCGAAGACAATGACCAAGCCATTTGTCTTGTGCCATCCATCTCCAGCCTTCCACAAACAGAGGCCAGGAACACCATTTCTACCCCCTGGCTAATACCACTCTATGGACCCAACCTCCCTTAATTTATCTAACTTCTCTTCAAACTCTGTTATAGTTCTAGCCTTCACAGCCTCCTGCGGCAAGGAGTTCCACAGGTTGACTATTTGCTTTGTGAAGAAGAACTTTCTTTTATTAGTTTGAAGCCTGCTACCCATTAATTTCATTTGGTGTCCTCTAGTCCTTCTGTTATGGGAACTAATGAAGAACTTTTCTTTATGCACCCTC